TATATATATAAATTTTTCTAATATTTTCAAAATAATTTTATTTTAATGATTTTTCTTCTTCTCTTTTCATGAATCTTTATTATTTTTTCGATATTATTAACTTATTTTATGATTTCTATATACTTGCAGCTAATGCGCAGTAAATAATACTCATTAATTTGTTTAATTTTCTTCGTTTTTCTCTTTTTTCTTTTCATCCTTTTTATCTAAATTGTGCTAATTATATATATAAATATATATTGTAACGAATGTCTTCTTTTTAGGTGTCCTAAATGAAGTGAAAATTCGAGCAATGGATCTAAGAATTGTGTATTTTGCAATTGCCATTTATGTTTTATTGGTGAAATTAGTGATACCATGGGTTATGAAAAACCGAAAACCATTTGCTTTAAAAAAAACTCTAATTGTTTACAATTTGCTATCCTCTTTCCTGAATGGTCTTCTTGCATATCATGTAAGAAACAGTTAATGTTGTATACCAATGTTGTTCTCTTAGCATAGAAAGTTCTAACTGCATCGAAAAAATTTTGCAAAAATGTGGCTTAATTAATTTTTTCAATAAATTAATTTTTTGATTAAAATTTCAATTAATTATTCCAATTAATTAATTTTTAAAATTTATTTTAATAAAATTTTAGAGATTATATAAACGTCACCAGTTAGAGACATATGGGCAGGAAATAAAAGCGTAGCAGAATCTTCATTCCATTGAACATTCTGAAATTTTCTAAGAAATAGCGGATTTCTTTTTGCGCAGGGAAGACATCAGAATATGTGAAAAAGGTTAACTTGTAACTTTCAAACTTTGTATATTGCGCAAAAAAAATTAATAAATAAATAAATAATTGGAACTCCCTGAATAACTTTTGATCTAATAATCGGATCTTCATGTTCCAGCACTCAATCTTAATAAGGACCTAAAATATGGTAATTAATCAGCGCAGACGATATTTTAGATTTTAAGCACAGTTAAAATTCGATTTTTGCAGAACTATTCGACTGATTTCGGCCAACTTTAGTTTTTTGCCATGAAAAATTATATTCTTTAGAATAATGTAAAAAATATTTACCTTACAATTTAAATTTTTTTCAACTAGTGATAAATAAAATAATAAAAAATAATAAATATTTGCAAAAAATTATTTTTTCGCATGGAATTGTTTTTAATAAACGAATCTTATAATTGTATATCCAAATTCGAAATTAAAATTTTTTTTTGCTAGCATAAATGAAAAAATAAAAAATAATAAATATTTACGATGAGTTATTTTTTGTGTGGAATTAACTTTGGAGAAACGGAGTTTTATAATTGCGTGCAAAAAATTCTCAATTCACTTAAAAAGTTCCCGATGCATGGGAAAATAAACAAAAAGTTAAATTATGAGGTCCAAATTTTGGACCACTCTCCTGAACAAGCTATTGATACCATATTTCCTTAATTTCGGCTACCCATTATATTATGGGTATCAAAAACCCGAATCGGTCGTAAAACAGGTACATTTATTTTAAAAAAAATGCTTTTTTTGTGTCTGATTTCCTAATTTAAAATATCATTTGCACTTATTAATTAACGTTAAAAATGTGTTCTAGATAGTGAAGATTTAGTTATTAGATCAGTGGTTATTAAATGCAAAGTTATTCAGGGTGTTCCGTATATACATATTTTTTTTAGCACTGTACACATCATCAATATGTAGAAAAAAAGTATTCAATTGTTTGATTCTTATTTTGCTACCATAGCTCACCCATAGTATACTAATGTAATTTAGGCTGACTTTGTACTCTTTTTAAAATTAAGTTCCAAATATATAAAAGAAATAAATCCTGTTCAAACCTTAATTTCTGAACATTTCGGTTCGAATGAGTTTTAGTTAGCCGTAGAAAACCTAATAATGCAGTACATATACTAGTATTATAGTTACTGCGTATGCATAGTGTAAATGCCATATTTTTTAAATTATCAATGGAGTCATTAACAGTTCGGCAGTTTTTTTTTAATGGCCACCCGAAACAGAATTAGGCTTACATTTCTCTTGTAAAAGACCCGAATATAATTTTATATTTCAATTTTCAGTTCGTTGTTTCCAACTCGAAAAAGAAATTTCATCGTTTCTTATATTCGCATTAGTGTTTTATATAATAGGATAGAAGGAACTTAAGATAACTCTATTCACATAAAAATATTTAAACAGTCGAAGAGTGTTTTTCAGTGCTTAAAGTAAACAGTGGAGAAAGAAGACGAAAACCTGATATAACGTATCCATTTTGGATCAATTTATTAAAAAAATGAGAATTTAGTTTTATTAGTTGAATTCTAAAAGTTCAGTGATTTCAAACTTGAATGAAAAATGTATGTTTTTAAAAAAAGCTGTTTGCGTGTCGTTTCTCATCAGTAACATCACAGCCGCTAGAGCACGGGACTTATCTACAGTGGGTACAAGTGGCAAATTCAGCCTCAGATAAAAATTTAAATTGGTATGTTTTGGATAAACATTTAATAAAAAATTAAAAATAATTATAAAAAAATAATTTATAATTAATTTTTTTAATCTAAATTAAAATTGAAATAAAAAATTTTATTTTTATTTTAAGCCTCAATTTCTCAATTGTGATAAGTTTTGACTGTCAAAAAATGTCTGCGATTTTTTGCCATCATTTTCGGTGCCGATATTGAGTGTAGTTATTTTGATGAGACCTTTATTTTGATGAGATGAAATTCTAAAATTGTATTTCGGTGAATCTAACAATGTAAAGTCATCGGGAAGGACCACGAAAAATAAAATAATGAAATTGTTTTAAATTGTACCCGTTTACACTTTTCCGCTTTGTGAATGATTCCACAATGTTAATTAATATGTTTTTGGGAATGATTCCATAATGCTAATCGATATCGTTTTGTGAATGATTCTATTATGTTAATCAATAACGTTTTGTGAATGATTCTATAATGCTAATTAATCTAAATTATTAAGTAGAGATATTTAATAGCATTTAATTGCACATTTACGATTTCTTTTACCTTATCAGCTAGTAAATACTAAAGGTATTTATTGTTGCGACTATTAGTGAGTAATTATTACTGTTTACGAATGTAAACTGTTTCTTTTAGTACTAAAGGAACAGCCACGAGAATTTTCGGTTTATTTTACATGAACAATTTTAAATCATCTCATCATTAAAATGTTCTTAAAAAATTAAACAGTTAGAGTAGAATTTGAGAACACCATTTGTATAATGTATTTATTATATATAAACTTCTTTTCAGATGTTTTGTCACTTATATGAAAATTGGAATGTTAGATGTAGCGTGAGGAATGCTTCAAAGGAGGTTAAAAATAACTATGCAACTGTAAGCTTTATTTAGTTCATCTCATTATCAAAACATAAAAGGTTTATTCCCTTAAAAAGGCTATTTACATGCGTTTTTACATCATAATTAAACATGTCAAATGACTGTATAGACTGATTTTACATTTTTAACGTAAAATACACATTTACTTCATCTACTCAGTCTTTCAGTTCTTCCAAAGTCGTTATGATAAATTGTTTTTTTTTAAACGTTTTTTTTTGCTCTGGAATGTTTTATGTGCTGTATTAGGTCTGCGTATTCCTTTACCTTAAAGAAATTTTTTTCAGTTTAAGTTCATTTTGTTTTGGCAGGAAAAAAAACTCTTAAAAAATGCATTGGATTGCAATATGATGTTTTGATATCCAATACAAAGCTAATTAAATCAGTGATTAAGTGCACAATTTGATTTAATTAAAGTTGTGAATTATTAAATTGTCCTCCAAAAGTACCATTGTGCTAATCAGTTTATTGGGTTTGTATAAAATATTAACATATGTTGTACAGAACATTTTTATAAGGCTCAATACCGAAAATATGAAATTTCATTGATGAAAACCGTTGTTATAGATAAATACGATAACTGTCATGGAAACAGCTTTTTGCGAAATATTAAAAAAAAAATAGAAAGTAAACGAAGCCACTAGAAAAAATAATTAAATATCCTTCAATAAACTCATAGTTTCATAGTAAGCTATCATAGTAAGATAAGATAAACTCATAGTTTACTCTTATTCATCCGAACTGCATTTTAGTTGTAAGGCAGGTTTAGCATGTCATGTCATTTCATTTGCCATAGGAATATCTTATGGCATTTTTTTATGGCAAATCTATGGCAAATTTTCCTAAGGGTTGTAAGGCTGATTTATAGCATGCCATGTCATTTCTACCGTAGCTGCCTACATAGCAGATTAAGCTGGCAAGCTTAAAAAAGCACATTTAGAGATTATATAAACGTCACCAGTNATTTTTTATGGCAAACCTATGGCAAATTTTCCTAAGGGTTGTAAGGCTGGTTTATAGCATGTCATGTCATTTCTACCGTAGCTGCCTACATAGCAGATTAAGCTGGCAAGCTTAAAAAAGCACATTATAGCTCCTTCAGATGTCTACCTTTCCATGATTTGGACGAAGCTTAAGCAACAAATAAGCATGAGATCCTTGTATACAACTTATCATGTAATTGTTATTTAAGCTAGCTGTATAGCATTTGATGCTAGTTAGCATTATGAAGCTTATTATAGCATGAAAATCTAGCAGACAAAGCAATACATAGCAGAAACTAGCATTTTTTGTTGCTGCTACTCGTATGAATTTTGATTTGGGTATCAATGGCAATAATTAATTGTTCACATTTCTTTTTGTTCATAAATTTTAAATTCTCAAACTTTATATCATTATTCTTGAAATAAAAATGTCATAAATTTTGTGTATAAAAAAATCAGTTCTAATAGGTTATCGGTTATAGTTCGAAAACAAATAGAGCAATGACAGGTTCTGATTTACTCAGTGTGGGGAGAGGAGTATTAGACCATGTCAACTGTCGTCTATGAAAAGGTACCCCTACATAGAGTCGAGTTAACATGTCTTATATACTAGAGAATTGTAGTTGTAATTTTGTAGTGATAGATACGCTACAGTACTCCCCTTCCAGAATTATATCTGTGATAGAATTCGATGAATGGATACCACTAGTTGAATCATTGCTGTCTTTGTGCGAAACCGGGAGAGCTGTATTAAGATCACCATACTTTATGAGTGCTGAATGTGAGAGGTGTATTAACATCACGTCGTTGTCGCTCCCGTGTTGCCTTTAGTAGTCGAGTGTATGCAAGCCGGCGTTGTGGGTGATTGAGAAGAAACTGAATAGCAACAGTGCGAGGAGGTGGATAAAGTCGCAGCCGCAAGCAGAAAGTCAACTATTCAATGTGGACTATCCATCGAAGTAGGCGTTTCCAAATCGAAGTGGGCGTTACTGTCAAGATAGGCGTGTTCACAACACGTCCGAAGGTCACCAATGTGGGGAGAGGAGTATTAGACCATGTCAACTGTCGTCTATGAAAAGGTACCCCTACATAGAGTCGAGTTAACATGTCTTATATACTAGTGAATTGTAGTTGTAATTTTGTAGTGGTAGATACGCTACACTCAGGTCTCCTGCTACCGATAATACAAATAGGTGCATCGAATATAAAGCAAGAAGTTTTTTCTTTGCTGTTGTATGTAGTACCAATATGATTGTATTATCTACAAGTCCAGTTTTCCAAGATAAGCAGTCTCCATCACATATTTTCATGATAAGTAAATAAATGAAAGTTTGCCTATACTCACTTTTTCTTTCCTATAAATTTCAAATTAGTAATGAAGTAGAAAGAAAATTTGGGATGAGAAGTTTCTCCCATGTTATGGCGTCCTCTTAAGGGACAAAAGGAGGGCATGGGCAGTGCCTATGGGGGAAGCTCCCTAGGCGTTAAACTATGATGAATTCTAGCAGTAGTTGTTTCTTGCGTTCCATGCACTGATTCACGATAGGTGCCCGCACGAATGGGATAGACAAAGAGTGCAACAGAGATGCAAAGACTGACCCAGTTCTGTTGACATTGAAGATGAGTCTTCAGGCCATAATGTGGTCATCGACAAATCAATGGTAGCTAAATTGATTGCAAGAGATTTAGATGCACATTTTGATAGACCCTAGATGAGGGATCTAACATATCAAGAAGAAGACCAAAGTTGCTCTTTGCTTATGGCAGCGCGGTATATGATGGAAAATCAGCTGTATGGATCTCTTAATGTATCGACAGCACACGCGTGTCCACTTGCGAATTTGATGTACAAGATTAGCATTTTTGTCTGGAAGTAGTGGTTTTACTTTCAGTTCAGTTCTTTTCATGAAATTCTATAAAATATGCAAATTCTCTTAATTAATTTCACCAGTGTACAAGAAAAAATGTGTAATCTTTAAAGTTTTTTTTGCTTTTAGATGCAATAACAACATCCCTCCTTGCTATTTTTTACAAATTTGCGTTACGGTATACATTCGAAAATGTTTCAGAGGTGACATGCTTTCAAACTCTTGATCAGTTTAGGTATATCTTCCGATATTTTTTGCTCATCTTCATCGTTTTCATCACTATTAACGGGAGCAAACATTAATCAGATATTGACGGAATTGCAAAGTAATGGGATGTGTGTTGCAATCGATATACTCATCAACTTCGGAAAATCTTCTGACATACAATTTTATACTAAAGGGCCAATGTTCCCCCTTGGATACCGCGAAGCTATTAACCCCGAGAAACTTTATTAAAAACACATTTGTAATACATTTTAGTTGACACTGCCCAACGCAATAGAAATCAAATTCAAAGCTTCCAGAGCATTAATTTTTGCTTAAGAAGCGTCTTGTAGATCACTGGAATCATGAAAAAGAAACGATTACCTAACCGATTGTTTAGTGTAACGCTCTTTACGTGATTGAACTATTCCAAGATTAGAAAGATTGAAGTTTAACGGAAAAAAATCCCGTCACAAATCTTATAATTTTAGCTCCCATACTTCCTTAAAACCCTCTTCCCGGGCTTTACCCATTCAACCACCGCTCTGATTTTGAATAACGGAAAAATCCATCTCCCTCACCGAAGGACTTAAAGATAAAATCGAAAGAATGTCTGAAAAACAGCTAATTAACACGTCTCTTTTTTAAGAAAAAAGAAAAAAAAAAGACGAAGTCGAAGAAAAATAAACTTCAGGAAAAGTATTGTGCCAGCTTTGAGGAGAAAAATAATTTTGATCGTTTAGAAAAACGCATAAAGCGGGATTTTCTTATGAAGGGTAAAGTAAAATCCTAGCAAATACAACATCATTGGTATAAGCATTTTTTACGAACTAAAAAATAACGGAATAACGAAATAACGTACGAAATGGACACCGTAAAACCGGGGTTCTACTGTACAGCAAGCAGTATAAAAAAGTAATAATGTGAAGTGCAGTAAAGGTATATGTTACAGCTACAAAATTAATTTGTGACCTGGGCAGTATTATTGCAGAATAATCACCAACCACAAAGCAATAATGGCGATTCTAAAGAGAGATTAATGAAATTTTTTTTTGTTGACCTGTTTTTTTATTAACTTCTACAAAGCACTCTGATATATAAGGGAAGGAACCACAGTCATTAGTTTCTTACATACTTCTTTCTTTTCCTCAGCGTAGCCCTTTTTGACACTAGTAGAGTTATAACTATATTTTAAGTATTTTATTCAGAGAATTATGTTTCTATGAGGAAAAGTAGATGCTGCAATGTAATATAAAAGTTAAAATTGTATACTGTAACCGTAACCTCAAAATGTTTTAAAAATCACCACAATTTCGATCGCATAACTCAAAAATAAAATAACTAAAAATATAAAAAATAACGAAATAAAATTTTTCGTTGAAGGGTCTAGAATATTGGTTGCTAGAGGGAGTATTTTTATGACCACTCTGTATCTGTATGATTTCATAAAGCTGTATTTAACAGAGACAAGTTTTGATAAATGATTAAACTTTGTTTCGGTAATGCTTTATTTTATAAGTTTTACTAATATTTCAATATATCCAGTTTAATTCCACCAATAATAAACTTTTTATACTTTTGTCTTAACAGAAAGGATTCAATTTGATTTCGTATAACGCCTTACTGAAGTTTATAGAATGGTTTGATACTGTAAGTAAATTATATTTTTTTACATATATATCCTAATTTCTTAGCAATTTTCTTATAACTATTATTTAACGAAACTCTTAAAGAAGATATTTTTCTTTCACTTTGATCAATTTATGGGGACAAATAATTAAATAAAGAAGTACAAAAAACTTAGGGCAAATGAAAGTTTACATCTGTAAAAAAGGAAACTTAGAATTATATGTTGTAGAAATCTCATACTGGTTGAGATTTCACAATTTTAAAAACACCGAAAATAACTAAATAACGAAATAAGTAAGATAATAACGAATATAAGTAAATAACAAAATAAGTTCCATAAGTAAAAGACAAAAGTGCAGTGATAGTGATGAACGCTTAAATATTAAATAAATGATAAGGTATTTTATTAACACACAAATTAAATCGCATTCTTACAGGCTGATTTAAAATTATCAAATATTTCTTTAAAAATGAAATATTATATTTCTACATTTATATACCTGCACTATTTGTTCAGAACTCGAAGACAACTTAACAGGAAACACCCTTTTTTTCTTTCCGATTTGGATCTTTAAGAAATTTGTCTTTACATTTAAGTTTACATATGGCGCTGTAATCGGTGCTGTAATTTCTGAAATATTAATATACTTACTTTATGTATTCAATGATACAAAACTCGACTACTCCCTAATCTCAGCTACTGGTAGTGGGATAAGAGACAACTTTTAAAACTTCTCTGTGAACGGCACTCTTTCCTTTCCGATTTGGATTTTTCAGAAATTTGACTTGAAGGTCTTTACATTTTGGTTCACAGATGACGCTGTAACCACCAAAGGAAAATGGCGTTGAATTTGCTTAAATGGAGACACTTGCAGAAATGAACTGTAGAACAAGAAAAAAAATGGAAATTTACTTGTTTGATTTTTGAAATCTTAACTTATGGACACCAAATTCCTAGTTCCCCTTTAACTGAGGTTACTCCCAAAAAATGTGTTTTGTGTCATTCGCTACAAACCATGATAATAGTCATATATTATTTCACGAAAGTTGTAAATTAAATCTAAAACTTCATTTTTCATATAGATGAATCGTTCTGATATTCGAATATCTTTTACTGAAATGTATTTGTTTTTCAGATATTTTTCGCCCTTAGAAAGAAAAATTCACAAATTACTCATCTTCATGTGATTCACCACACCGGCATATCTTTATTTCCCTTTTATTTCTCCAAGCTTGAACTGCCTAGTAAGATTAATTTTTTACATTTATTTTTTCTTAAAGCAAAAAGAAAAAGTAGTGTTTCTGGGTGTAATGTGAATCATTCAAAAATAATGAGGTCATTTCACTCTCAGAAATAAAACTCTCCCCTTTGACGGATCAACAGTCCTAGAGCTATATTTCGTCAATTTTGACTTAGAGAATCATTTCATCCCGAAATCGCGCTATTCGCAACAAAACGGAAACTCTCAAATTCGAAATCTCATCATAGTGCTTTGTTAGAGATTGTTAACTAGAATGACGAAACTGGGATGAAGACTAGACGATCGAAAACAAAGTGACGAAAGAAGCCGACCGGTATGTATGATAGTCGAGGAATTGGTCTTGATCCCAGATGTGAATTCCGCAACGGAACAGGTGTAATTTATCTCTCTGTTCTATCTGTCTTGTGTAGTTAACGTGGCATTTATCGTTGAGCGTGCCCACGATGTAGCAATTATCAGAAAAGTTAGATATATTAGGCACTACAAGTTGTTCTTTGGAGAGAGTAATAAAATGTCGAAAAATTTCTTTACCATTGACGAAACTCGTTTCCTCGAAGAAATGATGATTTGTCAATTTGATGAAAAGTTTCCTCGGAACATATATCAGGACACGGTATCGTCAAAAGTGAAAAAAGTTTCGCGAAATTTGAGTATCCATTTTTTCCAAATATTAGAAATCGAAAAAATCGAAGAGTTATAATTTTCCATAGAAATAAATATGGGTTTCAGTTTATTTTGCTTATCATGTAACATATATCATAATTATATCATGTATTAATAACAGTTCATTACATGGGCAATGCTGTGAAAAATGGACGGAAAAAGAAACACACTGTTTTTTGCTTTCTTCTTACAAAAACTATATTTTTTCAACAAATTTATATAAATAATTAAAAATTTTGCAACAAATGTGTCTTCTAACTGAGAAAAAAATAAAACAATAATATTTAGAAAATAACCATCATGCCCAACACTTTCCTGACTACAAAATTAAAAGAAGTGGTTCGTGAAATATTTTAGTTTAAGTGGTCTGTAATAGCAAGCAGCAGAAAAAAGTGTATATACTTATTTTAATTGTTGGAAAATCCTAACGGTTAGGTCAGAAAGTTGTATGGTAAAGTTTTTGTCCTCTATTTTACGCCTCCTGTTCTGAGTATGAAAATTCTGCTAAATATAGTTATAATTAAAAGTCATAGCTTTTTCCTTTTTCATAAAATTTAAAAAGACACATGTAACTCTTGATATTTGAAATGGTATTGGGCTGTTCGGAATTTTTTTTCCTAATGAAGTGAGTAATTACATTATATCGTAAATACTTTATTGAATTATATATTACCCTTTTTTGTCCAGTAGATTTTGCCATTTGTCTAGCAGTAATATGATTTCATATTAATGAAATATTTCTTTTTGCGCTCATAAATGTCTGTTCTTGGCTTGCAAAAATATGATCCAGGTATTGTTTGACCTCCTCCTTTGAAGTGAAGGTATTGTTGTTTAAAATATATTTCATTTTAACGCGTATGAGTACTAGTACTTGTATCATTCGATGTAACGTACTTGTATCGTTCTAACGTATCATGCAAGTAAACCTTTTATTTTTCAAGACAGGCAATGAGTGTGACTCGAAATAATAGTAATAGTAACTACTGTCATTATTTTGGATTGAATTTGCAATACAGTATTTTGTAAATTTCAGGTTTTAGTTATATTCTTGGCTCTAACATTAACTGTGTGATTCATGTGTTCATGTATCTATATTATGGATTGGCAGCCATTGGTCCTCATGTTCAAATATATTTAGGGTGGAAAAAGTATTTGACAATGATACAAATCGTAAGTAGATTTAAAACTTGAATTTAAATTAAAATATGGTTTATCAGTTTTTTTTAATCTCATTTACTGTCTTTAATTCTAATACGTACATAATATGCATAGAGTAAAATTAAATATTTTCTTTATAACACCTAAACATAATAGTCTTAAACCGTTTTCCATTGTTACATTTTAATTAGCTAAAAAATCTAATGCTTTGATTCCTTAATTAAGGAGGAAAACCCGGATTTCCGTCAGCATATAAGACTATCATAAATTGTAAATATATATTAAACTGTATTTTTTTGCTTATTTATGCCACGGGCTCTATTAAGTGCTCTGACGTCACCACGGTGCTTTTCGATAATTTTCTCTTAGCCAAGCACACCGCTGCGCCCTCTGGCAACACTTAAAGCAAACTGTTAGTTGGTATAGTAGATTTGGATAGTTGACACAGAAGTTCCCAATTTTTTTTCAGTCATGGAACCCTAAATAATCAACCTTCTTTCTGCAAAACCCTATATTTGTAAATAAAGTTTAAAGTAGTTGGGAATGTTACAACCTGCATGTCTTTATTTAAAACATATAATCAGAGGAATGAAGAGTTTTCATCGTTTTATTATTATTAATTTTAAATTAAGTTTTAGGTTAGGCAGTGAAATTTGCAGTCCTTGTGCAAATGTTGTCTAGTTATAAATGTGTTTCTGGTGTATATACAAAAGCTGAAAATTCTGAAAATTAGCCGAATTATTCTTTATTTCGAAATAAAAGCTTGAGAGAACTGCTATAAGCTTTGAAAATGGATAATAATGGAAAAATATTTTCTTAAGGAAAAATATCTTAAAGAATTGAGTTATTTTGACTTGAAAAGCGAGATAGGAAATACTAATGGAACATTTTATAAATGCTTGCTTTTATTTTCATAATTTGTTTAACACATGGTTATTAGAAACATTACATTTTCCTTCAAAAAATGCTATTTCTTTTTTATTGACACTTTACTTGAAGTAGTTTGATAAGAAAAACCGTAAGATTAAAGAAATTAGGAATTATAGGGTGGATCTACTAAATACAATCAGGGGTTTTAAAAATCATCACTATTTAACAAAAGTACTAACTCTCGGTAGCCCTTCAACTATTCCACAGAACCCTAGAGTTAGCCAAAACACTATTTGGGAACTGCTGCAAGCGGTTTATTATATATGTCAGTCAAATAAACGTGCACCGAGGGATCATTATAGGGATGTTTATATTTTTTTAATATTGGTCTTATATAGGGCTAATACTGATTTATAAAGGACCAATATAGGGACTATAGTGGCTGAGTAATGAACATAAAATATTAGGTAAGTCTCATAGTTTTTTATATGATCGATATTGGTTGTAAAGAGGCTGTAAAATATCGGGAGAATCGGAAAATTCTATACAGGGCCTAGATAAGAAAATAACAACAGTTATTTTGCTGCTGGGGTACATTATTACGAAGAAGGAGAGTGAGAGTCAGTCTCTCTCTCTCTCGGTCTCTCTCTCTCTCTCTCTCACTCTCTCTCTAAAAAACAAAAATTTCAATAAAAATCTGGAAAAAAAGATGTAACCTCTTCATTGGCTCACACAATTAAATCCTCTAAAAGGAGTGCATTCGAATATTGTATCAATATAGCCAAAGCAAAATATCCTTCATCCTTTTTTTTTTTTTTTAAATATATATATAAACTGTTGTTTGTTATTTTTTTACTTATTATTTCCCCCCCTTTTTTTCATAAGTCTATAATTTTTCTTTGTTTTTTCTTANTATATGTATGGTGATGGAGGTCTATAGGAAGACTAGAGGTAGGGCAAAATAATATAGAAGTAGCCAAATGGTTAAATGCGAGTCCTTCTGTGCGTCACAGACTTTGGCTGTAATTTCTAACAGCAGGTTCGGCAGCTAGAAGGCTACTTATCGCAGGAATAGAGCCGAAATACCGAATCAGCTCAGATCCTCTCTTAGTGCAGCCACTAGAAGATTGGTACCAATGTCTACTGCACGTAGAAGGTTTTATGAACATGGTTAGTTTGCTAGGTGATCAGTTATTTGCGTGCCACTTTAGTCACGCCATAGAAGGGAGCGTTTGAGTTGAGCACAACAACATGTTCACGAGTGGCTGCCTAATGAAGGGATGTTTTCTTCACAGATGAGTCCAGGTTCAGCTTCCAAAGTTATTGTAGGAATTGTTTGAATTGATTGTTTGAATTGAGTTGAACCTGATATCATTCATCAAACATCTGTGAAAGAGATATATACCAAGTAAGCAGCGTCTCTGCGTGGGGTCGTTTCTCATTGGGTAGGCGTACAGACCTTCGTGTCTATTCACGTGGAACCGTAAATGCTCTCGTGTACAGAGATGACATCCTTGGAGTTTATGTGCGCCCTTATGCTGGTGCAATAGGAGAGGATTTTGTAATAAAGAACGATAACGCAAAGCCGTACAGAATTCGCATCGTGGATAATTATTATTTTTTTTTCCAATGGCAGGTACTGAATTTGAATCTTTTGCCTATACTATGCCAGAATTGTTGCCCATTTCGCGTTACCCAGTGGGCACCTGTGAACCAAAGTCACGGAGGCGAGCAACATTGCCCACGCCACAATGCCACAAACCCGTTTATAGGGTGGGCGACATTCACACATCATACACACACACAACAGAGGACAGCACAAAGAGAGAGAGAGAAACATCCATGCCCAGAGCGGGATTCGAACCCGCAGCCTATGGCTTCATAGTCAGGCACGCTAACCGCTCGGCCACCTGGCCGGCGCATCGTGGATAATTATTTTCAGTAATAAAGAATTCAGCGCTTGAGGTGGCCAAATCGATCACCAGGCTTGAATATTATTGAGCATGTTTGGGATGCATTAGAAGGACATGTAGCTGCTTTCAATTCACCGCTTCAGACCATTGCCAGGTTTGCAACTGCTTGTCAAGAGCAATGGATGGCACTTCAAATGGAACTGGTAGACCGTATACTTAGACTGGTAGACCGTATGCAGCTAGAGGTGATCATACTTCATACTAAAAGCATTTTTTTTAATTTATTTATTTTCTGCATATACCAGTTTCTGCATTAACATATTTTTGTTGGTTAATATTTTTATGTCATTTTATACATTATTATATGTGCCAATTAAAGTAATTTTAATGCGTAGTTTTTTGAGTTATGGTTATTTTTGTGATTTTTCTTAATTTTTAATAGCTAGTGTTATCAAATTATTTACGCTGAGGTATCTTTAGATAGCTCAGTGCATCGTGATGACAAAGGGGATAAAATGCTATTTTTGTGGAAACATTATTTAATAACAAAAAATTATTTTTAATATGCGTGTATATATTTCAATTAATTCATTAATAATAGAAATATTATTTTTTAGGCACAATTTGTAGTCCTTATGTCATACATTTTATTTTCATTTGCAACTGGATGTGAACCTCTTGAAAGTGTTGAAATGGGATTGTTTGTATTTGTGTTAATAATTTTGCTTTTTTTCCTTAATTTTTACGTCAAATCTTATGGAACAAAAACTGAATAATTAAAATAGTTTTTAAATAATTATCAAATAAAACCTGATTTATTTCAATAAAATGTTTACCGTAAAATAACTGTGTACTTGTTATTTTTCAGACGATATTTATACATAAATATCGCCAATAGTTAATTTAGTTAAGTCGATATGTCAATTTAATTAAGCTGGCCAAATAAATACAAAAAAGTTTTATTGTATTAGACATTTCTGCTTTATCATAGAAAATCTTAAGTGGCACCTTCGCTGTTTTCATTCCATGCTTAACTTTACATTTGGTTTTGCTGATGATGAACGATAAGACCTGTAAACTTAGTTATTAAAAAAAAGAAGAAAAAAGTAATGTGTGCAGAGATTACGCGGAATAAAACAATTCAACATTCTATTATTAGATTTCGAATTCGACTTTATTATTCCATAATACTCTTGAATTTGCATCAAAATGCGTTCAGGTCTGCAGTTCACAGAAATGCAACTAAAGATTTCAGATTTGGCATGCTGAGGGGACCATTTTTGTTAATGTACTTAACACGAGCTTTTTCTTTTTGAAATTTCAATTTATTTGAGAGTTATTGCAATTTTAAGAGCTGTAATTGTATTTTCCATTGTTATATTTTAGTTGAAAATTAATTTGATAATACAAAGTTTAAAATTTTACAAGTGTTTAGAAAACAGCTTTGGAAACTAAACAACTTAGATAATGTAATAAGTTATATCTTTAGAGGTAGAAGAGACGAAAAAAGTAGCCACTGCAGCTGCCTTACAAGCATCCAAGACAGAAACTGATGGTGAGGACACTGTAACGTAACGAGCATATTTTAATAAAACAGAGCTCAAAGCAGATTTTCTTAAAAAATATCTCGAGCTATAGTTATATTTCTTTATCGAGTTAGGCATGAGCTATGATGCCTTTTTTCCACTTCTGATTTTCTACATGAAAAGAGATAGTTTATTTTTCCTTTCAAGAATTTGTGTTTAAAATTTTGATATAAATTTTTGAACTCCCGTCCTATTTTCTGTTAGTTGTGACACCACAAAATTATTACTGGTGGCAGCGTTGTGGATTTTAAAAAGTTTAATTTGTTCCTATTAAATGATTTGAACTTCTTAAATTGTATTGCAAGTTATTAAGTTATTTTAAAGTAAACTAAAACGCAGTAGCTCATCCGTTTTAATGCTACAAGAGTTATGGCCTTTCTTAATAAGGGATAAAAAAATCAAATCTCATTGATCTTGCTGGGGAGCCAGGTGAAGCAATTCCGATTCCTTTTCAAGTACATATGTGTTTGAAATAAAGCAAATAATTCAGGTAAATAAAAATTATGAGATTGAGAATGCGAAAATATCATTGGTTAGAATTACAGCGCAGCGAGTTAGACAAGAAGAACTTGAGTATCAAGAGACGGGGGAAGAACTTGAGGGACAAGAACAGCAACGGCGGGGAGAACTTGAGCGACAAGAGCAAAAACGGCGAGACGAAAATGAATGCTTAGAAAGATATCAAGAAAGACAGTGCCTTAGAACTGCGAAAGCTCGAATTAGAATCAAATACTAAACAACTCATAAAATACAGTTATTACAACTAACTTCGAAATTTCAAGAGAATAAAAATGAAACGACATTACATCTTATCAATTTTGAGCGTATAGCAGAGAGAGCACAAATTCCAAAAGACGAACGGGTGGATCATCTATTAAGCGTTGTTCCACCGAACATTTTAAAAGCAAAATACCAGCTATACCATCTTCACGTGCATCGCTGTGAACAGTTTTCTGTTCTGGATTATTAAGAGCCAAAATTGGTTGATTTGTTGTCTCACGTTTAAAGATTTCAAACGCTTCTTCTTGGTCTTTTTCCCATTTGAAAATTTCGTATTTTTTTTTGTCAGTTGAGTTAGATATCGAGCTTTAATTTGGAATGAATCTTCTAAGGAAACTTGTTAAACCAAGAAATCGTCGAACGTCGCGTATATTTTGAGGTTGGGGAAACTTAGATATAGCTTCTACTTTTATTGCTCAAGGTTTAATTCAGTTTCTGTTTATAATAAATCCTAGATACTCCACTTCTTTCTTTCCAAACTTACATTTAAGTAATTTCAGGGATAAATTCGCGGATAGTAATGCTTTAACTACTTCATTTAACTTCCGTATCATTTCTCCTCACGTTTTTGCTGTAACAAGTATGTCATCCAAATAACATATTACACAATTGTTGTACGACTGACCTAATAGGTGGTACATTAATCGTTGAAATTCGGCTGGGGCATTAGTTAAGAAAAAAATCATCCTTTTGAACTATCCAGTTTCATCTGGGGTAATAAAGGATGTTTTTCTCTAGGCTTTTTCGGTTTGTGGTATTTGTAGATACCCTTGCGTCAAGTCTAGAGTTGTAAAATAACTACAGTCACATAATTTCTCCAATAAATCATCAATTTTTGGCAATGGAAACTTATCTTTTATAGTTTGACTGTCAAGACGAATGTAGTCACCCACACGTCTGTTCACACCAGTCTTCTTCTTTACTAGTATGAAAACACTTGCATAGGTTGATCTTGCTTCAGACACTATTTCATTTTCTTTCCCTTCATCCACAATTTCTTTAATAGCTGTTCTTTCAGGAGCTTTATTTGGTTTCATATAAATGGGCTTTGACCCTTCAACTTCTATAATATCAATTTCTATTTAGTTAGTCCATCCTCGGTCTGAAATGTTCATAGCAAAACAAACTTGATATCCATTCAATAGTTGAAGCAATTCCTGATTCTGTTCATTTCTAATATTAGAGTAAATTTTCATTTCGCTCAATTTAATGGGAGCTTTTTCTTTAGAATTATTACAGCTAAATGAACTTAGGATATTTTCTGAGCACAATTCAACAACTTTTGCTCTTCCAACACATTGACCTCCTAAAAGCCCGACATTTTTGTGTCCAATATTTGTCAAAGGAATGCAAGTTTTTCCATTTTTAACTTCCAGTAAACAACCAATGTCTTCGGAAGGATTCTCCATCATAATTAACCCATTTTCGACGTCTTCTGCTTGAGATCTAATAAGATTGACTGTATTTTCCTGCAATTCAGGTGCGTTAGGAACTTTAATGTGGATTCAATTACCTTTTTCTCAATTAAGAAATTATTAAATGGTTCTTTTTCCCGATATCCGATACGAAATCTTTTCCCTTTTTTGGCATAAGCGATGTATGATAGATCAGGCCATGTTCGTCCGATAATAGGATCAACTGGCTGAGCATTATCAGGAACAACATAAATATTTATTTCTTTGTCTTTTACATTTTCGACTTCGATATCAGCTTCAATTTTTCCAATAGTGATTACTGCAGGTACCTTTTGATTTCCGAAACCATATAATTCATTGACAGCAGGTTCAAGTTTCAGTTCAAGTTTCTGAGTAAAAAAGGGACTAGATGGCTCGAGGGAAAGTACTTTTTAGCAATGAGCAAAAGCAATACTCATATGGCAGAATGACCAAAAAACATAGTTCTTCTAATTCATTTAAAGTTTAAGGTTGTGCTTCGCTGTGGTTTCTCATAAAAATTTTTTTAGAGAAAGAACCCCCAGAAAGTTTCCCCCTGAGAAAAGAAATTTGCATATGAAATTCGGACAAATGATGTCATAAGAGGGAAAGTCAGAATTTCAGAAAGGAAACAGACAACACTTTTCAATAATGATAAGATCGAGTGACATTTGAATTGTAAAAGAATTTTCCCATCGTTGAGTTAAGGAACATGTATTTTCCTCAGCCATAATTTTTGAGAGGAGTAAATCAATTCTTGACAATAATCAATTCACTGCTATTAATTTTTTCTCGGGGAAAAAGCAATTAAATATATAAATTGCATCCTTTTAAATAATTTGGTAGCTATGGATATTTTTTAGACACAAAAAAAAAGCTGAAAATGAAACTTATATGTTACCAGTTTTTACCCTTTTCCGTCTTGATATATATGGACTTTCAGCCCTGCCTCAGCAAGGGATAATTTGGTAGCAGTTTTCATTAAAGCTCTCAAAATAGATACTTCTTATTTAATTTTTTTTTTGACTAAGAACAGAAAGTTTTACTGTTCTATCAGAACATTTTGTTTCTGATCAGATTAAAATTGATCAAGCAGGTGAGGTGATGGTCTTTAGTTTTTAGGAACTTGCCGGTGGTTACACTCTGACCTTATGACCTCTTTACACTTCCGTTGTCGTAAGGTGTAAGAAAGGAAAAAGACTGTTTTATTTAGAGAAAGATAAACGATGTGAAAAGGGTGAACAAAGAAAATAATGCTACAAATCATTCATTTGTAATTTTTCTCTTAACAAATAAAAGTTCAACCAAAATTATAATCAATTTCTTTTTATTTCTTTTATTTTTTATTACTTTTTTTTTAAAACAGAAGTGAGAAGGTTGTAGAGTGCCAGTTCGAAAAGCGCATAGGGATATATCCCGGTAAACCAGTCCATCAGTGTATCGATTCTTAGAAGATATAGGTAATCTTTGTCATTCAATGACTTCTGCAAAAAAATAATTGAGCGTTCCAAAAATACACTCTCTCCCTTTTATGAAATTACAATCCAAGAAAAAAAAAACATGTAAAAGTTCTAAATTTAAAAAGTAACGAAGTACAACTGAAAATACGCCCATTTTACTTTTAAGTTCGTTACAAGTAACGAAAGTAAAAGTATTGAAATGAATAGGTATAAGTAATTATTCTTCAGTCGCTTATAACGAGATGGTAATGTATTTAATAAAAAAAAAATTTTAAATCTAGAAGCTTAATTACATGACTGTCGAAAATCACTCAAGCTGGAAAACGAAAATATATCGTAAGCCGGAAGTCAGATTATTTCTGTTCACTTGCTTATTTCTGCCCAGTTTCGGTTTCTGTTCTTAATTTAGTTTTGTTTTTTAATATTATTTTCAATTATTAACCTTTTGAGGGTGGCAGCACTTTTAAGTTTTCATCTGGAAATACACCATTAACTGTCTATTTTTTCCCATTAGCTTATTTCTGCCCTACTGTAGTTTCAATTTTAAT